ACAATAAATATCAATATGTAGATCCTCATTATTCTCTCTATACTTCTCCATCAAACCTCTCAATAAATGTATAGCTCAACATAGTAGGCCTACCTAGCATGATCCAAATTGATTTTGAGAAACATTAGTATCACGATTCATAACCTATGCTCCATAACACTCCCCATTAATTTTAAAGAATACACCATTTAACTTATTCATCCTATAATTTGCACAATCTTGTGCATCACTTTTATTTTTAAAAAATAGAAATCAACACACTCATTCCCACTCATCTGACATTATTTTTATTCTTTAAAATATTATAAAAAGGTTAGTAAGCCAAGAAATTGCTTCATCTCCTTAGCATTTCCACACCTCTTATGGATATAATCACCAAGCGTCCAATAGATTTTCCACCACTTCATTTCTTTAAAAACCTGATCTAACTTTCGTATATACTAATCCGCCGATAAAAACAAAAAATTATTTTATTTTTCATTTAAGGGCTGCTAAGGTCACTAAAAACAATCGCATTCTCATAATATTCATCTGAGAAGTTTAGTAATTTAGAAAAATATCTCATCCACTTTTGTTGAATATCATCTTCTATTAAAATCACTTTTTTATTTTATCCTTAATACACTTCACTTGAACTATATCTTTTTGTACTCTTATCTATTTATTTGGTTAACTTATATATATATCTTTCATCTTCCTTAGTATCTAATCTATTATATAACTCATTGAAAACTAAAATATTGCATCGCATATTACTTTCTTAAACTCTTTTTGAGCCTCTTTATATATTTCTCAATTATCAAAATTTTTACATATAAACAAATTTTTGTAACTCTTCTTATTTTTTATCTTTTCTTGCATATTTAGATTCCACCACAAACTATTTTTATTATTAAGAGTTTTTCCCTTTGATGCTCAAAATACATCTTTTGCAACATTCATAATATCACTAACTACATTTTCATATATAATATTAGCTTCATCATGCAGAGAAAAAATCTTAAGATCTAGTATCTCACTCTCAAAAATATTTTTATTAATATTTTTTAAATGTCCCCATCTAATCCTAGACAACATTTTACTCTATTTTTTATTATCTACCCCTTGAATTTAAAGGCCAAAACTAATAAGCGATGTTTGGTATATAAACTTTCACTTAGAATAACTTTACAATCTTTGCAATCTAAATGATGTATTTTTTTATAAAAAAATAATCAATCTGAGTTTTACAATATCCATTCTTATAAGTTTATTATATCCATTCTTAGAAGTGATGAGATGCTCATCTCTTTTTTTAAATAAGATATTAGCAATTACAAAATCATAAGCTAAAAACATATAAACTAAAGAAAAATCTAATATGATCTTACCACCTTCATTAGTTGCTCCAAACTCATAACCACCATGAATGCTTTTAAAATCATTTACCTCTCCACCAACATGTATATTTAAACCTCCTCCAATAAAATTTTTTTCTTCAAAAGGTATCTTCTATATTAATTCTTCTAAGTCATATTAAACAGCATGACACATGAGCTTTATTCCATAAAGCATATAATAGATTTTCCCCTCTTATGTATAGGGTGACATAAACATCCTCGAGAAAGCAAATTGAACATAATAAGTTAACATAATGCGGAAAAAGATTACAAGATAAAGAGTTATTTTAGTCTCTTGACTATTAAAATTGTTTAATTTAAATCCCTTTTTTTTATTTTTCATTTAAATTAACATAAGAAGCGACAAACATTCGCTTCTTTGCGGGTATTTTAGTAAAAATAGGTATTACATAATCATTGTCTTCCTGTTATAATTCCTACAGAAGGAACTAGAGACCGAATTGTGCGAGGGAGAAAACCTGCAGCTATGAACAAGGCACCGTGCTTCGACTCTTTGCAAGCGAGATGCGAAAGGTCGTGCTGCTGTAAGCGACCGCGAGTGACGCGAGAGGCCGTACGTGAGACACGATGCACTACGAGCCAGATGCGATAAGTGTGCTGCTACAAATGATTGCGAATGATGCGCAGCTGAGCAATCATGATGCGCTTCGCCATCCATAGACAGAGGTGGCGAGCAATGTGAAACATTCACAAAAAGACAAAGATAGGTTTGCTTATCAATTACTTAGAAAAAATTTAGATTTTGTTTTAAAAATATAATTTGTTTCACTAGTTATTCACCCTTATTATTTAATAGATTAAATATATATTCTAATTTATTAAATGAAAATAGAGCAATATTTATAATGTAATCTCACATACACTTATACAACCTAAACTACCCTCATATTTAACTTTGGAGTTAACTCTAATACTTATTTTTAGTCTTTAGTACTTAATTGGATTAATTTTTAATAGTTGAGCGGCTAAATGGGGGCAATACGAAATTCTGGGGCTAAATTGGACATTTATCAATAGTCGGGTGACTATTTTAAGCTTTTACTCTATGTTTTATCAAGTGAAAATGAGGCATTAATTGTTTAAAAATCTCATATATTTTTTAAGCAAATATGGGAATGCCAAATAGAAAATATGTTCTCAGTATAGCGGTAATACTAATTTAGATCTACTTAAGGCTCGAGTATCACTTCTAAAGCAAATATTGAATGAAAAAGAGAAAAAGTGATCACCTGTATCCACCTAATGGTAGACAAGACTGTTTTTTGAGACAGGAAGCTGAGTCACGAGTTTCAGCTTTTGTTGTCTGGTGAATAGTAGTCATATTAGTATCATGTTTTAGCCAAGAAACATTGAGAACATTGCCTTATAAAAAATCACGGTAAGGAACGTGCTACTTACCTGCATGACTAGATCAAATTCTGCAACGGTTGAAGGATATGCTTTGAAATTATTCTCGTTCTTTGTAGCCATCTGATATAATCAAAAGAGTAATTGAAATGAGAAGATAAGTAAAAAAGAAAACCCATCAAATATATACCAACATAATCAAAAAGACAAATGATTATCATTTTTACAAAATATTCCTTGATATACCAAGCATAATAGTCAAAATATATATATCAATGAAATGCAACACACACAAACACTTAAATGCACGCATACAAACACATATCTAAGCACCCTCATTATAGACAGTGTTAACTCACATGCATTTATATTTCTGAAGAAAGAAATAGTTAAAACCCAACAAATAAAGCTCGATGCACAAATTGTTTGTCCTCTTCTAGAAAGTTCAAATCACTATAAAAAAAAAAACGTATGATGCAATGAAATAATGGCCAAATTTTCTCAATCAGATTTATCCTAACAAAGAAGCTATCAATTGTAATCCTAAAGCTAAATATATACAGCTATACAAATTAATTATATAGATTTCTAGCCATAATTAACAAAAGGATAGCTAAAACATATTATTAATACATATCGTGCTGATATCTCCTCTCGAATTGATGCAACTTTATCAAGAAGCATCAATTTTCCCATGAGGAACTCATGTCATCATGACATGGCCTTCGTAAATATAACTACAACATTAAAACTAACGAGCAACTCCACAAAGGAGCCACAAGCACAAACTAAACAAACTTGCGAACATTCTAAAATACATAAATCTCAAACTTAAACTACAACACAATAAAACTAAAGCCAACATCTAACCACCTCAAATATACTCGGTATCCCTAAAAGAAGGCAACCCATAGTTGCTAATCAGATTTCCTAGACGCTGCAACCAATAGTTTAGGGGTGTCAATTTCGGATCACAGGTCGGGTTCGGGTCGAACCCGAAACTGACCCGGAACTATTCGGGTCAACCCGAACCCGACCCGTTTTTAAAAACGGGTCAGTTTCCTGGACCCGAACCTGACCCGCTTCGGGTCCGGGTCAATCCGACCCGACCCGAATGGCCCATTTTCAACAAAAAAAATTGTTAATTTTCGGGTCAAAAACGAGTCAATCTCCTCTTTTCGGGTCAAAACCGGGTCAAAACCGGGTCAAAATCGAGTCAATCTCGGGTTGCCGGGTCAAAATCGAGTTTTCGGGTCAAAATCGTGTCACTTTCGGGTCAATTTCGAGTCAAAGGGTTAACCCGAACCCGACCCGATTTTTGAAATGGGTCGAAATGTTGAACCCGAACCCGACCCGTTTCGGGTTCGGGTTGACCCTAACCTGAAATTTTCGGGTCGGGTTCGAGTCGGGTTTTCGGGTCGTGTCAAATATTGACACCCCTACAATAGTTCGTTAATGTTGGTAGACTAAGATCTATGGTATTCCCCGGATGACAAAACTATGGAATGTTGATCGGGTTTATCTCTATCCAAACGAGACAACTAAACTCAAAATTCCAAAGCTATGCTAAAATGACTCATCCTTAATCGAGAGTGTTCTTATAAGAAATGGGAAGGGTAATTAACTATGAGAGCTAGCATTGATGGAAGTAAGGACCCCATACTTAAACAAAGCTCGATATGAACATTGGGGAAATTTTGGTTAATTAAAAATCAATCTATCTTAAGCAAAATGGAATCCTAAGCCTAGAAGGTGAGGTTCGTGCTTTTAAGCTATTTTTCTTGAGCGAACAATCTTGATAAGATCTTTTGATACATGAGATAAAGATGAATCGTTGTTCATTGAGCAAGACCAAGAAAAAGCTTGATGGAGATGAGATCATCATGGACTCTTCACCGGACCTTCGAGATAGGATGTGAAGATGAAGGCTTAGAGCACTGCTAACAAAAAAGCTCGTTGCATAAACTGCTTGACCTTCTCTAAAGGGCTCTACTCATTACATAGAAAAGAATAATATAAGGCAATGATTGTGTAATCAATTAGATCTATCCTAATAAGAAACTATTAAGAGAAAAAGGTTAAAATAGTCATTGGTATTTGTATAGGTGTATTTTAGTCCCCCGACGACTCAAATATAATCAAATAGTCCATTTGTTAGATTATTTTAGATTACATTTGAGAAATTAAGAGACTATTTTGAATCAAATTTATGAAGTTAACTAAATTGAACATATTAGATAAACTAGCAATAAGACAGCTCCCCATAAATAGTTCAAAGACCATTTTGATGTTCTCAAACAATTAATTATATTCTTAAGAGCTAAATATTAATAGCTATACCAATTGATTAATAGATTTCTAATCATAATTAACAAAATCAATAATTAAGGCGTATTATTAAGACATATCTTTATAAAAAGATGCAGAAACATGATTAAACATAAAATGCACATACCATTATGTGAAAATAAAAAAAGTCCTCACAAAAAGAAGAGACCAATATAACAAAAGATCCATAAGCAACACTCAGTTACCTCTTGCAGCAGTTTAGCGCTCTCATCAGAAAGTAAAAATACTGGAAAATCATAGTGATTCCACATTATACCAGAACCCTGTACGACCAAATATATTATGGTTCGTTCTATGGAAAAATATATCACAATGATCTACATTTTTAATTAAACAACTTACACGAGGGTTCCATTGAAAACTGACATTCGGATATGGAGCAAAGTCAGCTTGTGGGAACTTTTCATCTGGGGAAAACCCTACACATTACATCGATGCTAAGAATCAAGTCATATATTGAGATAAACATAAATTATTAATTGGAATTCCAAAACTGACCTAATGACCTATTTTTGAACCCAGTTGCCTCTACCAAGACACCAGCAATCCTTTGTGCAAATTTTGGATCACTTGAAACTCTGAACAGGCACACATTTGCTTATTATTGAATGGTACTAAATATTTTATGCAAAAAACTATGGAAAATTTAACATAGATATCCAATTTGAAGATCCAGGTTCGGAAGAATATGGTTAAAACAATGGGATGATTTGCAAAACCACTAGAAGAATTTAATTTATTTCAAACCTGCAGATCAACATGATAAGCATTAAGCAATCATACTTAATATGTGAAGCATTCAGCAATCAATATTTCATATGGAATCCTATGCACGCTTAGTCAAAAAAGGTTACTGGATACATTTAAGGCGGCCATCATTTTGGGTTTCTTTTTTTAGAGGACAGAGAAGTTTAGGGAGCTTTTGGCAAATATCTGAGAGCTAAAGAGAGAAAGGGGTTGATCAAAGGAATCAGTGGAAATCTGGTGAAATCTTAATTAGTGTGAATAACTTACTGAAATGAGCCACATGGATCTCCAAAACATAAAAGCCCAATAAATTTCTAGTGGATATCCAATAAACATTGTAATGTATTTCTTTTTTTTTTTTAATTAATCCTAGGCAGGGTAGGATGTGGTTGGGGATGGCAATTTAAGATTAGTCGTGATGCTATGTCCATGACAGTCAAGGATTATTCGAATGTAATTAATTAGCATGTATCTAAAACAATACTAAATTTAATTTAGAGAATTCATGCAGAAAAACTATGCAAATGGGAGTAATGCAAAAACATAAGTTAACAGGATTGGAAATGCAAGGTGTAAAGGGGAAAGTTCTGCAATGCTACTACATGTAACCCTCAGGAATGACAATAAGAAAGCAGATTTAGCTAAAGAATCAAGTAATTTCTTATCTTTCATTCCTGAATGCCACCATTAATATGTGCACAAGATAGGAAACCATAACATTGGCATAGAGCAATTCACATTATACGAACTCATCTCCAGCTGTCATTAGATCAAGTTTCACACACTGTCAACAAGGGAACTACAATTGGTAGACATGAACCATGAGATGCTTCCATCTTTTATCCCAATGGGCATATGGATGCAAAAGGGACTAATGCTCATGGCAGGTGCCTAGGACATTGCATTAGTGTTCATATGCGTCAAATTCCTATAATGGATGCATCAGACAAGCCATAACTGGGTCAACAAAATATTCTACAATCTACACTATCAAATTGATACATTTGCCTTACAGGTATTTTCTTTATTTTTATACATTTCTCAATGATATTTTCTTTTCATTTTCCCTTAAACTTGTTTGTAAGTCTACGGCAAATCCCGCAGGATGGTACATAATTAAACCATGTTGACATCAGAAAATTTTATGAAATCAATATTTACATAGGTGATCCTCGTATTTGACTATTTCTTTGGTCTTTTCCACTAAGCTGCTAATTCTTACAGCAGTAAGTTCAACACCACGCACAACACAAGTCAAATCTAATACCTCAACTTTCCTAACAGGGTCATCGGAAGGCCTCGGTTTAATGTGACCAAACCATCTAAGGCGACTATCTCTAATCTAATCTTCCACTGGAGCTACTCCAACATCTTCACGTATATGCTCATTTCGTATCCTATCTCTAAGGGTAAAGCCACTCATCCACCTAAGCATCCTCATCTCTGCAACACTTAACTTAGTATTATGCTTCTCTTTTAATGGCCAACATTCGGCACCATAAAGTATTGCAGGTCTCACCACCATCTTATAAAATTTTCCCTTAAGTTCGAGGGGGACTTTTCTATCGCACAACAAGCCCGAAGCATTCCTCCACTTCAACCATCCAACTTGAATTCTACTGAAAAAATCCCCATCTATTTCACCATCACTTTGAACAATAAATCCAAGATATCTAAAATGTGTACTCTTATTAATGACTTGTCATCCAAAGTCACAATTCCCTCACTAGGTCTATTGCTACTAATTACACTCCATATATTCAGTTTTACATCTAATCAAGCGAAAACCTTTAGACTCTAAGGTTGACCTCCATAATTCAAGTTTACCTTCAACTCTCTCTCTAGTCTTATCGACAAGAAGAATATTATCAGCAAAAAGCATACACCAAGGCACATCCTCTAACAAATGTCTAGTGAGAACATCCATGACTAAAGCAAAAAGATATGAACTTAAGGCTAATCCTTGATGTAATCCAACCGAAATAGAAAATACTTAATCAAATCACCTTGTGTTTGAACACAAGTAATAGCTCCTGCATACATATCTTTAATGATTTGAATAAAAGCATTATTAACTCCTTTCTTTTCAATAACTCTCCATAGCACTACAACAAAGTAATAAATATAATAAATTAGAACACTACTTAATATTTAATTAATTAATGCACAAGTAATTAGAAAACCTCATAATCTACTCAGTAATTCTAACTAATCAATATTTACGCTAACTAATCTTTTAATTAAACAATCTATTACTAATTAGACTAATTTATTATATTATCCCTAACAAACAATTAATTATATAATTAATCATTAATCGATTAAATTTAATAGCAAAATTATTAACTAATCCCAAACTGTTGAATCAAGATATTTAATTAATTAATCAATTAGCTTATTTAAAATCTATTTTTTAACCAAGTCCTACAAAGGAAAACGAAGGCAGCATTTTCATCCAAAAAAGTGAAAAAAAATTTCAATAAGACAGGCTGTTTTGAACCATTATTCTAATAAAGAGGTTTTTTGGTTTCATAAAGCTGAGTTTATCTAACAACAGTTGGCATGCTCCTTACCAAATACCCGAAAGTAAAACTAATTCTATATTCCTTGTAAGGAATAAGCAGACAAAATTACCCAAGTATGTCAAGCACATGAGAACACAGACTGCTGCACTAGTACTAGAAAAATGAACTTAGTTACAAATCATATCCCAATAAAAATGACTATAACTACATATCCTTCAATTGTCATAGTGAGAAGACATCTCATGCTTAAAGTTAAAAATAGAAAATTCAAGATTCCCTAGTCTACCTAGAAGCCAAGAGGTCAGACTGCATAATCATAAGGCACCTTCAAGAAAGTCGCATACACCAATCATGTAGCAAACCAATTAAATAACATTACAAAATAGTATGAAGTTAGACTTGCGAAGAGCATACGAAATCAAAAACAATTGGCTATTTATGACATTTATGACGCCATATTATATGCCATAGCTACATGGAATTTTAAAAAAAAAATCATGCCTCAAAAGAAAACTTTCCAACTCTTCCAAAGGGACTAGAACTGCAAACGAATGAAACAACAGTTTGTCAATCTTCCCCAATCTGAAAACTGGTGCAACAATCTTTTTCTGGCCTGGATCTGTAAATGTCAATAAGAATATATCAATAGGGAAGAAACATAGTAAAAATTAAGTATTCACTGACACTTCCATTTATATAAATCATATCTATGAATGCTGGAGTTGTGAAACAAGTCAAAACTAATGGAGAGAAATGAGGACTTTGAAATGCTTCCTTGCTCCTTTAATGAACTTGGGCAAACATATCTTCAAGGGATAGATTGTCTTTCTTTTCCCAAACATTCCCCCAACCAATGGCAAGGGCTTATTTAGATATGAGGAATTAAGGTTTTCTTGGATGCAAGCTCCTAGAATTAATTACGGTATGACCTTGTAGGTAGAGAACACTTTTGACTAAGGACATTGCGTATGCAAGAGGTCAACAAACATCAATTGGAAGATGGATAGTTAATTCAATCAAGGTCCCATTGTTCCTTCATTACAATTTTGCTTTAAGATCCTAATTTGCTAAAATCAAAGGGCTTGATGTTATGACAATATCGGGCTTGATTAATAGCCATTGGTTGCCTCATTACAAGCATCCTAAGCAAAACAAGGTGAATTTCATGCTCAGGACAGATTTGTGTCATGAAGACGAATATCGTACAGTTAACATTATCCTGGGGACTAATCCCATATTTTAAGATATGATAAAGCCCTATCGTAAAAGTCTTTGTGTGTTATGCATGGGTTGTCTTGCAAAGGGTCTCTATAAGTAAGGCTCAAGTGTCGTGTTAAAGCATGATTCACTTCATAGAGATACTCCTAGCATTTGATTTATTTAAAAGGCTTAAGACATACCCAAATAAATTGAGTTGTGGGCTTGATGGCATGGAAACTGGTCCAATGGGCTGGAAAGGAATATAAGTATGCTTGATTGAATTGATGGGCTTCGTGGAAAAGCGAACCAACCCAATTGGCTAGATGGAATGGGAACCTTCCTGATTGATTTGATAGGCTTGATGGCATACAAAATTGCCCAGTATACTTGATGGTAAAAAAGCATGCTAAATTTAATTAATGGGCTTGATGGCATGATAAAATTCCTGATGAGCTTGATGACATGGAAATTCATCAATTGATTTGATAGGCTTGATAGCATGAGAGCCTACCTGATGGGTTTTGTTATTATCTAATAATTTAATTTAATTAACTTATGAAAATATTTTTCAACTGATATCTTCAATTATTTAACTTATTAATTATATAAATTTCATTTACTTAATTATTCTAATTGGCTTTAATTATTACTTAATTATATATTATCTAATAAATTTAAAATTAATAATATATCTTATGCAATTATAAATATATACATAAATATATATTTTCTCTCTAATTCTCTGTCCCTCTCTTACTCTCTCTACCTCTTTACCACTACATCTCTATATTTTTTTCTAAACCATGTAATATTTATTAACTTATAAATAAATCAAATTTAAAATTTAGTTATTAATTTATAAAGGTTTAAATAATATTAAAAGATGTTACTATTTCATGTCTTATATCATAGTAGAGATTAAATGTTATTATTTTTTAATGTATATATATAGTTTAATATGTTCATATTATGTAAGAATAGCGATATTATTATTTATAAAATAAACAAGAAAGTAAAATTAGATAAAGATAATAAAAAATTTAAAATCATGTTCAAATAAATACTTATATCAATATTAAATTTAAAAAAAAAATCAAATTTGTTTTTTTTTAATTATTTAAACTAATATTATATTATTATATATATAGCATACATATGGTTTTAAAGGTCTTACCAGGAATTTATTAATTAATATATTCATTCTTACACAACTTAATAATATATTTCAAAATCAATTCTCATATTTAATATCTCCAAATTTAAGAAAAAAATATTAAGTTTATATGAATTTTTTAACTTTATTAATAATTAATATCTTCTATTAAATATAACTTATGATATAAATTAAGATTCACTTATTAATAATAGATTTAAGATCCTGTAATTTAATTTAAATGGAAATTTAAGCTTAAAATAAGTTAAATTTCCTGAACTCTATATATATAATACTTATTTAAATAATATGCTTTCAAATATTACTAATTAATCAAAATGGTTTTAATTATTACTTAATTTTGTATTATCTACTTAATTTTCAAACAATATTAAATCTTATCCAACTATAATTATTTATTTCACTAACTATTTTCATGTATTAAATATCTCTAAACATTTTTTCTATATAAATTAAGTTATAATTCCTTTTCTACGTCAAATTTTTCTCTATAAATTAACTTACTAATATTAATTTTATTTAAATAAATTTTCATTAACTTATAAATACATATATATACACTTAATTATTTAATAACTTTTACTTATAATTAATTTTTCTATTCTCCAATATTTATTTTATTTATTATTATTTTTCATATTACTATATTTCAATACTATATTTTCATTAACTTAATTACATATAGTTTCGTATTAAGCCCGGAGAATATTTTTATCTAACTCTCTGTGTCTCTCTTACTCTCTCTCTACCTCTCTCTCTATCTAAAAGAATATTTTTCTTTCAAAAATTACATGTCTTAAAGGGTTGGCAGAATATTACAATGTCATTTTTAAAGTCTAATGGAACAACACGATGGTTTTATTGTAAACTATACTCTGTTATTTCTACTTAACATATAAATTTTGTATTTTCCAAAACAAAACAAAAAATTTTGCTGAAAAATATAGCATATAGCATAAAGATGTGTAAGAAACGTAGATCATACAGTCTTATTTCTCTTTTTCCAATGAGCTACTTAATTTCACTATTTTGATAAATATACATGAGGGGAAAAAGTGCAAAAATTTGAAATATATGGAAATAACAGCACAATAATCTTAAACAAACAAATTGTAATTCTAACAAATTTATTTCCTTCAACAATATTGGCAAAAAATTTAACATCAATATTTCAACAATATTTGCTCTCAACAACAAAAATTAAACAATATTTGAAACAATATTTCAACAATATACACATATGTTTTGGAATAAAAATACATCAATATTTCACCAATACTAATAAAAACAAATAGCTAGGATTTCTGTATTCCAAAAATAATCGTTACTTGAACATTAAAACAACTAAAAAATTTCTATTAATACTAACCTTATTTGATTCAACCGTAGCCTCAACTTTAAACAGCAAAGCCTTATGTTCTTTATTTGCTGGTATTTAAAGGCAAACTAATGCATTTAAAAAAGAAAAATCTGGTTTTGGCTGGGTGCTTCACGGGCCGAACATGCATGTCACGGGTAACCATGCCCGTGACTTTCTTCCTTCCTTTTCGCCAAATTTTCTAGGGTGGAGGGGTCCTCCATGAAGAAAACGCAAGCTACTATCGCATTTTCATAGAAAACGCAAAGCAGCTTTGCGTTTTGCATGGAAAACACAGAGCCCCATCGCGTTTTCAATACAAAACGCTCTCCTCCTTTGCATTTTGTTTAAAAAATGGGATTCTTGTTCACTTGGATGCTCCTTTTTAAATTTTTTTTTTAATGCTCCTAATCCTAAAACTTTTACCAACTCTGCTGCATTTGAAAATTTTGCCTGGGTTTAATGGAATGGATATCAATCTAATTAATTTGATTGGCTTGATGGCAAGAGTAACCTGCCTAATTGATTTGATGGACTTATATAGCATGGGAGCCTAAGCCAATTAATTTGGTAGCTTGATGGCACGTGAGCTTGATTAATGGGCTTAATGGCATAAAAGCCTGCCCTATTGATTTGAACTACCGAATTTGGGCTTTGTGCATGCCTAATTGGTTTGAAGTGTTAGATTCACATCATTATTATTTCAAGCGTCAAAGTTAGTTTACAGAGTTGAATAGCCTAGTATTGGATCCTGCATCCTTGGAGAAGGCCTAACTGATTTAGTTGACGGGACTTTTATCTTTCCAGAATACCTAGTTGATTTAAATGATAGGCCTTGTACCCTAGGGGAGGCCCAAATAATTTATTTCACTCAATTATTAGCAGGTTTAAAGGCCTTGCACAAATGCAATGTCAAATAACATGATGAAGCCTATCATCAAGCCAATAATACTCGATATGCACTATATCAATTAGTGCACTGCATCCAGCCACCAAGATCCTTGGAAACATGTTCTAGAATTGGAATTAAATGTCCTCTGATATTGAAGGTCTTTATCCTTCAGTTGCTCTATCGATTTGGCTAGTTTATTTTACAAGATGCTTTAAAAGGTTCTGGAGGCAAATGAGCAATTTAGAAGAATTTATCCAAGAGCATTTTCCTTGGAATCTAGGTAACAAACTTGCACCTTGAATTAGGGTTTTTTTGGAATATTGAAAAAATAATTGAAAGTCTTAAATGTCTTTAAATCATTTTTTAAGAATTATTTGGTTAGAAAATATCAGAAATGACCTTTCTTTATTAGATTTAAATGAGAATTTGACTTTAAACAGGTCGCAATGGCAAAAAGAAATTCATGTAGCATGTCATACTTTAAAACTATGGGAGCGAGTTATGGAAAGTAGGTTGCGGCGTGATACAAATGTTTCTCAAAATCAATTTGGATTCATGCCGGGTAGGTCTACTATGGAAACCATACATTTATTGAGAGGTTTGATGGAGAAATATAGAGAGAATAAAGAGGATCTACATATGATATTTATTGATTTAGAAAAAGCATATGATAAAGTTCCAAGAGAAGTGCTATGGAGATTTCTTGAAAGAAATGAGTTAATAATGTTTATATTCAAATCATTAAAGATATGTATGTAAGAGCTATTACTTGTGTTCAAACACAAGGTGGTTTGACCAAGTATTTTCCTATTTCGATTGGATTAAATCAAGGATCAGCCTTAAGCCCATATCTTTTTTGCTTTAGTCATGGATGTTCTCACTAGACATTTGCAAGAGGATATGTACCTTGGGGTATGTTTTTTGCTGATGATACTCTTCTTGTTAATAAGACTAGAGAGGGAGTTGAAGGTAAACTTGAATTATGGAGGTCAAAGG